AAGTACACGCGTGAATAAGGACGAAATCAATAAAAACAATGAGACGACAAGAAAAAAAAAAAAAAAAATAAAGAGATTGTCAGAATGTCTCAAAAATGATATTGTGATGATGTAGCCGATAAATCTAGAAAATGTATGGGATAAAAATATCTTTAAAAAAAATATGAAAATGAAAATAATCTTCTGAATGAAAAGAGATGCACAATGTTAAGAACATTATATATTTTTTACAAACAACCAAAATCATCGCCAATGAATATATCCAGGCATGAAAAAGGATTTAAGTTATGAATCATTATATATATATATATATATATATATATATATATATATATATATATATAGAGAGAGAGAGAGAGAGAAAGAAAGATAGATAGATAGATAGATATAAATATAGATTGATATGAGATAGATAGACAGATACATAATCTGTGTATGTTTGCGTATGTGTATTTATTAAGGTTTGAATAGATATCAGAAACTAGCTTTAAAAATTAAATGCCACAATAAATGTTGTAATATAACTATTTAAATTAGATGTAATAAATTACTCACAAACATACACAACTTCTCTTTATCTCAAACATATAAAGTCATCCACAGTTTCGCTATTTCACAGCTCTTCAGTGTGGCTAGACATCCGGTTGCCTCTAGCTAGGATCGAAATTGATCTGAGTTGGTGTCAGTCGGAGATTCTACCGCTAAGCCGTCGGCGCACGGCAGTGATGAAGGTGAATTTTAGCGTATTTATTTTTAGACAAACACACAGTGACCGACAGTGACTCAATTCGCTTTTGCCGAAGAGTCTCGCTATATCAGCTAAAATAGTCACTGTTTACAAACCCGTTCCTCCCCAGAGAGTTCAACTGAAATTAATTTTTCAGAAGCCATCAGGAGCCAACATGTATGTATGCATATATATATATACATATATATATATGTGTGTGTGTGTGTGTGTGCGTACGTGTGTGCGTGCGTGTGTGTGTTTATATGTGTTTGTGCGTGTTTACTTGTATATTTAATATCCTTATCATCGATATTTTATTATATTCATCAATGTTTTTTTTCAACATATATTCATATTCTGTACTAGTCCGTAAACATATATTGACAAAATAAAGTTTACATATATGTATATATTTCATTGTCCTTTTCTCATATTAATCCTCAGGTGATCTTCGGCGCAGAAAGGGAAAGAGAGAGTGAGAGAGAGAGAGTGTGTGTGAGAGAGAGAGATATAGCGAGGTTAACGTGACAAATAAAGAAAGTATTTTCTTTTTCTTATTTTTCTTAACAGAAAAAGACAGAAAGGAAGCAAACAATGTAGTGTCGATATAAAATCCTCTACGCATTTCGCATATTTCAATAAACCTTTTGTTTTGATTTCAGCTGCATTTTTTTCTTTTTTACTTTAAGAAACGAAACGGAGCTCAATTCGTAAAGAAGCAGATGTGATGTTGAAAAAGAACGAATGAAGTTTTAGTAATAGTATCAATAATTGTAGTTTTAGTCGTATTTAAGTGCATCGAGAGCAGTAGTTATGGTGGTAATAAGTAGTGTTGGTAGAAGAAAGAATAAAAGAGAACAATTATTTAGAAACGGAAGCAGCATCCCGCTACGTGTTAGGAATATCAGTATTAGTAGCAGTGATTTTCATGAAAACCGATTAGTCTTCCTAAAGTAAATCGTAGACTTAGTAGGGACAGTAAATATGAAATGATCTAGCGGACGAAAAATAACTGAAGGGAAACGTTCTCATTAAGGCATAAATATCTGCAGCAACAACAACGACTAAAATAATATCAGCTGTAACAACATAAAGGAAAACACATTTTAACATCTTTGTTGTTGTTGATGACAGTTATTGACACTGACAATGGTCTTGGCGATTTTATAAGAAATTGAATTATGAACAGTGACACTGGTGATGGTAATTTTAATGATGACACGTTATTAGTCTGCATGCGTTGGTACAAGGGTAGAAAATATGGAGAAAATAAAACAGAAAAATGGACACTTTCAAAGTCTTATAAGGATGAAGACTGGTAATGAGAAAATGGTTATAATTCTAAAGTGGCTTTTAAGTTTGATCTTCCCTTGAAAACATTTTTATTAATCCTCATTTACTTTTAATTATTTTTCTTAGTATAATTGTCAATGTGTAGTGGTTATATTTTCCTCTTGTTTTATGATTTTTACTTTATTCTCCTATTCTAATTTTATTTTTAACTGGATGACTTCTTACCGATAATTGCCAAAATGAATTCTCATATCTTCCTTTCTTTTTCATTAATAATTTTGATTTTTACAAATATGTTAAAACAAAACTGTTTTCATATTTCATATTTTTTTTGGTAGGGATGGAGCACGAACTGGTCCGATTCTAAAGTTTATATATTAATACATATTATTAGACCACGTCGAAATAAAGTCTACGTTCATGGAAATATTAAGAAAACTACTATGAAATTATGACGAATATAAGTAAAATGCCAATTATTAATTAGCTTTTATATACACGTTAGTGTTATTTGATTTTTTTCCTGATATATATATATATATATATATATATATATATATATATATATATATATATATATATATGAATATTAACTTTTGTTTCTGGCCGAAGTGACACCATGCCTCTCACCATCTGTTCACTTTTGCTTCAATTGAACAAATTTCAACATTTAGTAGTCTTGACATTTTTCTTTCTTAAAATTATTGAAATATTATCGTGAAAGCCAAATCTGTCATCCAATAATCGACTGGCAAAAAGTTTTGAGTACCTTTTCGAAATATAATTTTGAGCGATTCGAGCAAATCCCATGTTTAAATCGCTACTCTCACAATACTGAGAATTAGCAACCATTTAATGTTTTACGGTCAATCCTGATGCTATGTTCAAAAATGAAAATTAAAACAGTGATTGTTTCTAATTCCTAAAATCAGCGGAAACCCACCATCTTACGCACAGAAACTAGTGTCGAGTTCTCATTATATTACTGCAACTACAATATCGCAGACGTTTTTTAACTTTATTTAATCTTATCATTTCAAACAGTTATCCACAATTCCCATTTGTCAAAATTTGTTTATCTTCGAATGGAAATATCTTTTTAATAGAATTACTACATACTGCACTTGTAGGGTGTCGAGTAAGCAGTTCTTTTTTGTACTAGCACCGTTTTAGGTGGTGTATACTCCGAAGTAACCGTTTAAGAAGATCCGAATAAAAGTGCTAATTCTACGACACAGCAGGTAGATATGCGAGTACCAAATGATTTTTTTAGGTATAAGCGGTGACTAAGATTGATAAATAGCTAAGGTAGAATCAATATATGTCTGACAGTTTGATCTGTTCAATATAAACACGTATATTAGATGAGTTTTGTAACCCCGATTCCAACGTATAGAGATATTGAGTGATAATGGAATAAATTGATGAAATAATTTTTAATAAATAACTTAACTTATACATTTGGCAATATCATTATAATTGGATGCATGATTCATAGATAGATAAACAGATTGTCTGATAATTTGATAGTCGATGTGAGAAAATAAAAGTTATTTGAAATATCCGGATATGGAAGAGATGGAAAATATATGAACAAAAATGCAGTTTACATTTTTAGACAGAAAAACTGATATATGTATTTGTTCTGCGCTATTTTATTTTTGTTACACTTGTATAAGGTGACATTGTAGTAGTATTTCCTTTGGTTTATTAAATAAAGACTGGGCTGATCACGTGCTACAACTCTCTTCAACCTAATATGACCAAGTGTTGAAGAGTATATTGATAGTTTACACAAGCCTATCACACACACATACTCACTCACTAACGTGCACACACACACACGTGTGTGTGTATGTGTATGTGTGTATATTAGTATATTATTAACTGTCTATATTCTAACATAATTATGCGTTATGGTTATTTATTTTTATATAAAGTTATTTTTTTAATGATTTTGTTGTTTAGAAAAATATAAAATTCATTCAACAAGAGAGCTAGAAAAATACATACTTATGCCTTTTCGTAACCAGAGACAAAATGTATTGGAATAATATGTCTCTTCTATATTTTATATGTATCTTATTTTCTAAATATATTCTCTTTTGTTTAGAATCGTTTGTATATAGCTTTAGCAATATATTCATACACAAATTTGATATTATCAAAAACAATACAAAAAAGTAAAGTGTACAGTGGTATTATTGAATATATGTTCAACTCCGGTCCATACTTACAAAAGATTATGTTGTTCATATGTACAGAAATGTAATAAATACATTTTAACAAACGAGAAATCAACCTAAATGCGGCTTGCATGCACTGGCAAATGTGATATCTATATGATGATGATGATGATAATAATAATAATAATAATAATAATAATAATAATAATAATAATAATAAAGTAACCCCTACCACAATATAAAAAATATGTTTTTTTTTTTTGTTTTTTTTTAAATGGTTGGTAAAAAATGGATTTAGAATATTCAGGTGATTTCGAAACAGGCGTATCATCGGTGAAATAATGCAGGTAACTCCTTGTTAGATTTTTCCAATTTTTACTGTAGTGGTATATCCCTCACAGATAGTGTGATATGCATTCGTTAATCTGTATCTTTCGGAAGACATATTATTCTTCCTCGTAAGTGTTACTTGTATTTATCCTCTCTCCATGGTCCTGAGTCATTTGCATATTGTTGATGCCGTTGTTATTACAATTGGTGATACTATATTAGTTGTGGTCTTCTCTTTTTAAAAATATTTCCTACCGTTTTGATTTTGCTGTTTTTCTTTTTCTTAACTAGTGATCCGAAAAGCAGTTCGAAAAATGTGTTTATATTTTCATTATAAAATGTAAGAACAATGTTGTGAAACATTATTGTGACGTAGCCCAATCGTCCTTCAAAAAGAGGTGCCCAAGAATGCTTATTGCTATCAGCAAGTAAGCAGAAAGATATAACCGATCGTATATTCTCCTATGTGTTCACCTCTCCCACTTGAATATGTGCACCTCTTGATAGAAATAAATTTACATCTTTCCCTAAATAATTCTTTCTTTCTGTAAGTCCTTATTTTATTTCCCTTCCCAGTTCATATAGGTAAAGATATAGATATCACCAAATTTCCTCAACTCCGATATATCAGACAAAGAAGCATTTCAAGCAGCTTGTATCGAGAGTATTTCACTCATACGAATATGAGCGATAACCTACACTCAATTAATCGATAAGGTGGAAAACTGCATGAGGAATATAAATCGAGGCAGGCTAGATATTGATTTGTATGCACTTGCAAGAAGCTAGCATAGAGAGATGATGCGCAAAGGGGTGGAGATTAAAGCTGAAGCTGAGTCAAAAGATGAGTAAATACAAACATATAGAAAATAACTACCTAGAAGAAAACTCAAATTGATACATTAAAATATATATGCATATACATTGTCACAAAGGTGAACAATATAGACATTCACAGACGGCGGCTAAGTATGTATATATGGAATCGAATGTCCTAAGCAGATGATAATTTTAAAAAAGAAATAGTCGAAATAACTAAATCTGTTTAAAGATTCGCTGTCTAGAAGAAACATACACGCATTTGTGTATACATACATACATATATATATATATATATATATATATATATATATATATATATATATATATATACAAACGCGCACACACATATATATTTATGCATGTGTGTGCTTGTTTATATCCATTTATCTATCATTTTATACCAGGTTGTTAATAATCCATATCTATCTATCATTATATCCATTAAACTATCTTAGATTGTTACTATTTATCTAGGTGTTCACAAGAATTACTGTCCCAAAGACCTATGTCCTTTGTGCTTGTAAATGAATATATATATATATATATATATATATATATATATATATATGTAATATAATATAAGTTATGAAAAACTTGCATGCGATAATTGTCCATCATACAATTTTTTTAATATCTAAAAAGATACTAAATTAAATGAAATTTTCCTGCATTTCATTTAAGACGTTTAGTCATCTTGAGACCATGTCTCGTAAGAATCACTAAAAAAAAACTTAAGTTATTCAGCTACAACAGATTAAAATCCTTTTGTGTCAGCTCCACTATGTCTTTTTAACTGAGCAATGGGAAGAAGAAAAATATCATTCAGCCCTTCAGTAATGGTGTCAAGACTAATATTATGGCCTCCATCTTCAAAGTCCATTCCAGAATCATAGGAACGGTGAATCTATCTATCTATCTATCTATCTATCTATCTATCTATCTATCTATCTCATGTTGTCTGTCTATGTGTCTGTCGTGGGTGTTGTTACTTCGTCCAGGTCGCATTTCTCACACGATTTCGATGCAGTTTTCACCACAAGTTTACAAATGGCTGCCGTAAGGACATAATGGAGCCCGATTTTTGAGTTCGGACTCGGGTTCCGAAAAGATCGATAATCAAAATAATCGATAATCGAAAAAATCTGTTTACAGAAGGAATGATCGCATTTCAACCAAATTTGACACCCTCTTAGAGTCTACCATTAGAAGTGTTGTCCAGAAGTTTCATGACGACAGACCCTTAAACAGCGCGGAAAATCGATAAAACCCAAAAAGAGTACGTCCAGATTGCGCCTGAACCGCATGTCGGTTTTTAGCGAAAACCGACAGGATTTATGAGGAGGCCATTAGTAGTCAGCATGTGAAGTTTCAACTCTGAGCGCCCCCCCCCAACATAGTGCAAATCGACAATATGTCAACCCTTAAAAATGTTTTTTTTTTTTTTCCGGTTGGGTATTTCCTAAATGCAGATTAATTTAAGGTCATGCTATGCGCGTGAAGAAACAGGTCAGTACGTGCAGTGGAATGGAAGAAAACATTTGACCTCAAATTATGGAGTGGGTGCAGGGACATTGAAATTCGGCTTTTTTATCCCTGCACATGATAACTCCGGTTACAGATGATCATATAGCGTCTAATTCAACCTCTGCTTTGCACTCTTCTGCGTGCGGTGGCGATGACCAACCCGGCAGGTCAGCAAAGGCTGCAAAAACACCCAGGTGAGGCAACCTTAGCAGGGGTTCTAAAAAAGCCTCACCGGCTAAGGGGGAAATGGGAGCAGGATTCCATTGAGTGCGCCTCCTTGAGGGAGAAGCGGCTGGCGTCTTCTTCAACCTCTGCTTTGCACACTTCTGAGTGCAGTGGCGATGATTGACCCGACAGCTTTGCTAAGCGTGCCAAAATACCATTAGCAAGCGTTCTAAAAGAGCCTCTGCTGCAAAGAGAAAGCGGGAGGAAGAAACCGAAGTAGCATGCTCTCGAAAGTAACACTTCTTCTGATTTCATTTTTGTAATTGATGCTGACAAACGGCCTCAGGGAGAGCACGAACGTCGTTACAATGCTCCCGCAAGTAAGGAAGTTTCCGTCATTGTCAGCGGTGATCAGCACAACAGACGTGACATTGTTATCGAATCACGCGGCAATGGGCTCCGAAGAATCAGTTAAACGCATCGGTCCTACGATGCACTGTAATATCCACTTCTCTTCCCTTACGGAGAAGTTGGGTACCTAAAAAAAAACAGTGTCTTGCAGGGCTTTCTACGCCTACCTATTGATGATATATGAGGGTGCATTCAATCATTTTCATCGAAGCTGGCAACTTTTCCATCAATAGTATACATGGCCGCTAAGATGGATTCCGAAAGACTCTGTTCCATCAGATTGAATCAGACCAAGTTGCGCTGCGAATCTTACATTCACCTCCGTGATGCTTTACGAAATGACGCTGATCGACACAATATAGGCAAGATGTGCATATACTACCTGCAACGTTCACAGGCAGTCCACAATACATGCATACGAGGACGCAAGACGCGATGACATACGTTCGTAAGTACGGCCGACCAGACCTATTCATAACTTTCGCGTGTTACCCAAAATGGTACGCAATTGCTAAAGAACTTAAGTTAATGGATGTGATTCAAAAGGGCCAGGTTTTTGGGGCTGCTTCCTGTCGCATGCACACTATTGAGTGGCAAAAACGCGGCCTGCCTCACGCACATATACTAATTTGGCTGTGCGACAAGATTGAGGCCACAGAAATCGATCATCTTATTTCTGCTGAAATTCCTGATCCGTCGGCTGACCCTGAATTGTACGAAATTGTGACAACCAACAGGATTCATGGTCCCTGCGGGTCGCATTACAATTACACCAGCTGTGACAACAGCGACGGCAAATGCACCCGGCAGTACCCACGAGTTTTCGTGAGCGAAACCATTACAGGGTGCGATGGTTATCCACTGCACCGCCGAAGGAGTTCCGCTAAGGGAGGATTTACAGCCGTAGTAAAAGGCCACCAAGTGGATAACAGATGGATAGTGCCATACTGTCCCCTGCTAACAAAAGCGTTCAATGCGCACATCAATGTCGAATATTGCCATTCAGTTCGCTCCATCAAGTATGTATGTATATACATCAACAAAGGGACAATTGCGACACCCCATCGTGCAGCAAAAAATCGATAAAAAGCTCCGGTTTGACCCTGCCATCAGCTGTCAGTTTTTGACTTCTTTTCACGCCCAGGCTGCAATTAACGTCAAATGTCGATTCAACTTCCGACATTTACGGCGTCAATTCGTAACGGAGACAGGTTTTCAATTTGGACTCAGGCTTTAAAAAAATTGATAAATCGGCTGGTACTCCGGTATTTGGGCGGATTACATTCTAAAATTTCGGACTTTCTTTACAATTTGACCAGAAAATCCTACGCCGCCGAGTTAGAAGTGCCTTGCATAGAATTCCGTGTGACCCCGTCGTGACTCAAAACTCGATACAAACCACCGTGTTGACCATGCCCTCAGCAGTCCATTTCCCACTTCATTAAACTTTGTTCTTTCTCCCAGACTGCATCCCAGATCCGATTTTTCAATTTGTGTCATTGTGTCATGCCGGAGCCCGATTTTCTTTGTGGGGGACTTAAACTTTGTAAAATAAAAACGATTAACTCGCAGGTGATACGGATTTTGGGGATTTTAAGTAGAACCTCTCGCTTGCACTACGCGGCCCAGTACATCTAAGCTTGTCACCTCATTTTGGACACTGTGCAGTTGACTTCGCGTTGTTAAACACTTTTGAGCTTTTTTTTATTTGAACTTAAAATCGGATCAATTTATGGTTTTTAAATTACCGGGTTAACAAAACAAGGGCAACAACAACCCCACCCAAGTAGTATGACCAGTCTCAAGATTTCAGGAAACTGGTTTGGGTGTGAAAAATACTTGTTAACATTTTTTTCATTCAGTTTTTCCGGTTACGAGTCCTTTTTTAAAGGTGATCGTTTTGTCTTCATTTTGTTTAATTCTTTTTTCGCAACAGATTTAATGTTTAGTATAGTGCTTAGAAAAAATTCGCAGTGTGAGATAGGCAAGAAGTAAGGCATGTAGCAACATCAGCACGGGAAAGGGCACTTCTTTAAAGGCATGGAATATTTTAAGTCAAGTGATAGCGATTGCTGTATGAGTCGTACGATTTTTGAATCAAGCACGGACCACGCCGGGCCATGCTGCTAGATTAAGCTATTGTCCCCCTTATCCTAAAAAGATATGTCTACACATTTTTATTACAGTTGTGTCTTTCCAACCGAAAGAAACCTAACAAAAACAGCTCTCGCAAAATGCGTCGTTTATAAGATTTTCGACTGATCATCTCCACTTTTGTTTCGGAATCGCATTATATTATTTCATCTCGGATGCTACCTGAGTTTTACCAAAAACAAAATAATTTTCATGCCTGAAGATGACTGAATGTACAGTCGAACGTACTTGAGTATTAAAGAAAGATCTTATACAGTTTCTAAATTTAAAAGCAACGATCATAACATTCATCGAGTGATTGGTAGGTTAATGCATCCTTAAAATTTTGTCAACTAAGGGATTTCGATATTTTATATCATTAACTTTACAAATTTACTTTTTTGTATGAAAGATTCATTGTAATATAAATTGAACTGCGCCACATATTTGATATCCTGATTATAATGCTAGTAAGACGCGATGTGATATTTAGAATGAAAGAGTATAAGACATTAGAAGTAACTAGAAACCCAATCTTAATCAGAAAACAAGGGATAAACATCTACTCCTGTCCCCTAAACCGAGAAGGATTGTAAACCGGACGATAAGGGGCTTTCATTTTTTTTATCATGCCTTCCAAGCTGCTGTGAATAACGCATTTAAGTTGATCTTGTGTCTAGGCCCACCTTTTGTTTTTAGTTAAGAAATAATCATATTATAAATATTTTTGTGCTTAGTTAGTATGTTACGACCTGACATTACCTCAAATAAACAATAGACTATTCCCGTGTGAATAGACGTAAATAGATGGAAGAAGAATTTATGGGAAAGTTAAATGAATGCTGGAGGCGATTACATGTGATGAAATGGAAGACCTTGTCACTTTTGAATCTTTTCATGTGTAATATCAATATTCACCCATAAACATACCTATAGTTATTATTGTAATATTTTCATAAAGTTTTTTAAGCACAAATATTTCCCAAACTAGAGATGACCAGAATTTGCCTGTTGATCTCTTCCCCTGACGTAGCTGTAACAGTTCCATATGGAAATACTGACTGGTCTCGTCCAATGCCTTAAAAACTAAACTAGTGACCATCTGCTCTCAACGATCGGACGTAGATCTTCCATCAGTCGCGATGAACGAGTGTTCTATAAGAGAGGTCTCGTTCCTTGAGCCCCCATTGTGAACTCATAAATACGATCCATTGCTAAAGATGCTGAAAAGATGGTCGTTTCCCTCTACCGTTTCAGCCAGTACCTCACACCTCCACCTTTACAATAAGCAGATCAGGCTCTAAAATTGAACACTGCTACCATCTATGGCTAGGAGTTGTGCGTCCTTGTAGGTGGAGAATTATTTTCCACCATACATTTTCTTTTCTCACGGACGCTTCCCTATCGCTATTTCCATGGGTATAAACTATACACCTAAGTTCACCTGTCTTAAATTTCACAGTTAAGAGACGCTACGTCACCGCCATTGTAGTGAACCAACTTCATTTCCTTCATATTCCCTTGGTGAGATGCAATTTTCACTCGAGCGTCTTCTTGGCACGAGCTACTGTTTTGTGGAACTGATTCCCAAGTGGTTGCTTCCCGGATTAGTCCAATCTTAACCAGTTCAAATCTATAGTTAACCGTTATCGTCCATACATAAGATGCGTCTCTATGGCACCTTGCATTTATTGGAAATATTCATAGAAATATGAGTTAATTTTTTCTTATTCAGTTTATTAAACAGGTTGTTAATTTTTTTTTCTTTAAAACGGAAAATAACTGGGTTGAAAATAATTCACTAAGAATGTACTAAACGATCCTAAAGCAAGGAAAAGAAAGAAAGGAAAAGGAAGAAAGGAAAGATAATAACAAAAGGGGAAAAGAAAGGAAAAGACATGATATCAAAACAGGCCGCTGGGTGTGGACCAGATGTCGGTCAGAGCCTCTGACTGACCTTAATTTTTTTGTTGAAAGAATAGAATTGAGATATCGGTCGCGAGCGCTGACCGACATTTTCGTAGAAGAATTCTTATCAAAATAACGAAAGGTAACTTTAAATTAGAATAATAGAAATGAATTTTACTTTAGTCAGAGAGAAAGTGTCTTTGGGTTGGGGAAATGACTGGTGAAAACGATATACGGAATTGACCTGTTAAGAATTGGACACCCACGTTAAGAAAGTAGAGATATTTCGACCTAGATAATTAAGATTCTCGGCTATCAGGAAAAACAAAGAGGTAAAAAGAAGAGCAATTGTTTTTGGACCACGGAGGGCGCCAGGAAGGCGGAAAAGATCCTTTCTAAAAGTCAAGACTAATTAGCAGCGGGCTGTTTGACAAAGTCCAGGTGAGAGAGGGCAAGGATTGTCATTTTGCGTACGTGCAAAAAAGGTGCGAAATCGGATTTTGTTTTTTTAAAACCAGCACGATGTAACCACACCCGCCAACAAAAGGGAGAGGGTGTTCGGTCAATAACAATTGGTCGAATACAATCACGTGACCGCGGAAGAAGAAGGAAAGAAAACCTCGATCAATAACTGTTGGACGAGGCGGTCACGTGGGCTGCGGAAAAGAAGAGAAAGAAAGGTTCGATCGGGAACGATTGGTTGAGAGCGATCACCTGACATGAGAGAGACTAAGAGAAATAGATATGCGCCGCCCCCCCAAGAGCACTGTGAGAAAGTAGGGATGAAAACAATAACGATAATGGAAAGTCAAAATTAATACGGCTTTTTTATCGAGAAACCCCTGACGCCGACCGACCCACCCCGGTTTGTTGCGGCGTCAATATAAGCAGGACCCCAGTCGGCAGAAGTCAGTTGGAGCTGAAGTTGGAGTGGAGTTGCAGTTAGAGTTCATCCCCGGACGGCAGCGAGAAAAGAACCCTCAGACAAGAAGAACTTCCAGCCCAAGTAGATGACGAAGAAGATTGCCTGAAAGCCTGAGAAGAATTGGAGCTGCAGACAAGCCGAAAGTCGATGAGAAGTTAAAGTTCAGCTCCGGACGGCAGTGAGAAGAGACCACCTCAGACGACAGAGAGTTGCGGCTAAGTTGAAACAAGAAATCTTCCACCAAGTTGAAAACAGGAAAACTACCAGCCCAAGCAGACGAAGAAGAAGAAATACAACTCAAGTCGGAGAGAAGAATCAACTGCGAATGATCGATAGAAATTAGCCCCAGTGTCGAACTGAACCACACCGACATACATACATGATTCTAGAAAGTAGGTAATCTGACATTTTTCTATTGTGTGATAGAAGCTTGGTTATAGTCCACAGAGCGGGTCGGGAAATGAGAACACTTTTGTTTTTATGTAACGGACTTTAAGATATAAAAGGTTGTTACCCTTTTTATCAGCAATTTTGTTTGATGTCGTGAGTTTTTATTTTATTTGTGTTTTGCCACCCCTGTCGGACTCAACTTGTATCGGCCCTGATCCCCTGCTGGTCCTGTCTGTCTAAGATCTAAACACAGCGTGGGTAGACAGACCGGAGATCGGTATAGTTGCTTTAGTGACCAGGTATTGGAAGCGAGTCGGGAAAGGCGAGGCTGGTGATCATCTGACCAAAGGGTTGGAGCGGCACGCTTGGACCCAGGAGGAGCGACCAGGAGGAGCGACGTCACCGTTGGCGCCGTAACCAAAGGATCCGACACTGGGCCAGGTGTGTAACCGTCACAAGTGGTGCTGTGACCAAGGATCAACCCTGAGACAACCACGTCACATATGGTGCCGTGGTGACCGAGGGATTTCAACCCTGAGAAGACCACGATCGACCGCCGTTGCTGAAGGTTCAAGCAGAAATCAGAACGACCCGGGACCAAAGGAAAAGAAGGAACAGAGTCGTCTGTAAGGTAGGACACCTTGTTTATTTCCCTACCTCGATTGTTGCTCTCTGTAGACATGTCAGATTATGAGTCGGATAGAGCAGTGGGGGGGTGAAGAAGAAGTAG